GCAGTATTTGGTCTGACTTTTCCTCTCAACAAACACGGGATATCCCTTTTCAATGCTGGAAGCAACAGGAAGGAGTTGGGATGGGGAGCTGTCAGGGGAGAAGCATGAGACTGCGAGTGTGGACCTCTAGGCCTGCTCTGGTGGGCACTTACCCTGTACCTGCACTGCACCCAGAGCCCCCCACCACCCCTCCTGCCCTCCCCCACTTTCCTGCCCCCACCCCGTTTCCCCCTTACTCCCAGCTTCTAGGCAGCAGATGGGGTGGGGTAGACACCGTCATGGTTGGGAAGCAAGAGGAGAGTTTGGTGAAAACCACTCCAGGGCCTTTCTCTCAAGCCTTGGTGATGAAAGGACTCAGTGAACCTTAACAATTTCTCACAGGAAAATTCCAGCCTCTGTCTTCTTAAAAGTGGGACATTCAGCAACCCTTACTAGAGCCAGGATTAAACCCCAGAATTTCTGACTTATCCAAGGCCTATAGTTTAGATAGAAAGGCTCGATCACTGTCCTATCTGGCAATTAGGATCATTTTAGATACCAAAAATAACATTTTGAAAAAGTGTACCTTGGGCTGAGAGGCCATTTTCAATACAAAAAGAAGAAAAACTTAAACTATGCCTTCAGAACCTCTGAAAAGCAGAGTGCGGTCACTTTGGGAGTGCTAGGTTTGGCGACAGGTAGGCAGTTTGTGAGCACAGACAGCCCACAGCCTCTCTCTCTTTTGCTCGGATGATGCCCTTTCTCTGAATGGCCAGGCTATCTGGTGCATTGCCTGTTTGCCTAAACAAATAGGAATATTAGGACAATCGCTGCACCTAGCCCCACAGGTCCAGTTAAAGTGATTTTGAAACTTGTCTGGATCTCTGTGTTAGATTGTAGCAGGTTTCTGACAGAGAGTAGGTAGGAGGAAGTGGGTGTTTTTATGGGCATAGAAATACCCCTGAGATGCCTCACGACTCCTCCAGCCCAGCCTCCCCCTTAAACTCTTGCCCACAGACCTGGGTTCCATGAAGAACTTTAGATTCCAGGCCTTCTATGGGGCTTGGAAAAGACAGGCCACATGCATCTGGGGCCACTGAAAACCATGAAGAAGGTAGACAGAATTCCGCTCAGATCACCTCAGATGTTTGACTCTTTGGTAGAAGCTGAAGCTATTTACCTATTTCCCTGATTGTTATTTAGTAGCATATGAATCCAAAAGGACTCTTGTCACAAGATTGGGCTTGTTACAGCATAGGACTGATAACCTTGTAATTTCTGGACACTAAAAATAATGAACAAAGGAATCTAAGGTCTGGAGAAGTCACCTGTCCTCGGGTCGAGCTGAGCATTCTCTCTCCTCTCCTCTTCCTGTCGCTGCCTTAGGAGAGAAAGTGGGCAGGAGGCCTGCACGCCCCTCTTCTTACCTGTGCTATTGATCTCAGGCAGGTGACTCTAGTTCACCTTGTAGAAAGTGGGGCTTACAAATGTTGCCTCTCCCCCCACAGAAATTTGAATGAGGGCATATGCCATATACGTAGCTCCTTTAAAAAATCTGACTTGTAAATACTGAGTTATTGTTTTGTTGACCATAAGCATTTCTTCTCCTAACCACACAGGGCCAGATCTTCCATTCCCACCTAGTCTGTCCCCGACTGACCATAAATCCTTTTTTCCATCACCTTCCAAGAGTCAAATGGGGCTTTAGATCTGACAGTTCTCCACACTGATTTTTCCAGGGCTGCCCCATTTTCTCTTCTCTCCCCCTATTTCCAGTACTCACCATGGGCTAGAATATACTAAGTGGCTACTCCTGGAGACCTCAGCAGAAATATTCCTAATATTTCACTGTATGGTGGATCAGACTAAACACACAGTGGTCCCTAAGGTAGAATGGATTCTGGAGCAGGAACAGGGGGTGTGAGAAGGGTGTGGGGGTGAAATAAAACATTAAAAAAAAAATAAAAAGGAAAGTACCAGTCAGCAAAATATAACAACAATGATGAAGACTAACATTGAAGCATTCCCCTTTGGTTAGGCACTAATGAGGACCTTATATGCATTATCCAGTGTAATGAAACCCTGTGAGTTTGGTATTCTCATACCAGAGAGGTTATGAGACTTGCCCAATGTCATACGGCTAGTAAGTGGTAGAACTCAGGATCTGAACTCCGGTCTGACTCTCAAGCACGAATCCTAACTACTGTGCAAGCTGCTCTCGCACAAATATAGTCCCAAGCTTCAGAAGCCCCAAGCTTTCCAATGGAGCAGAGCGGCACGAAAGCCCTTCTGAAGTGTCAGAACAAATTTTCAGAAACCAGATAGTGTTAAGACTCTGTTTATAACTTGTAGTAATATTTTATAAGTTATTTTAAGGGTGTAGTTTTCAAGTCTCCAGATTGCCTCCAAGGACAATACGTCTATAGGCTTCTGCCCAAGTCGTGATTATTTGTAATTGGTGCTATTTGAAAATGTTTCCATTCTATCATTTTGCTGAACACGGGTTTAGAAAACCACAACAATTTAGTAAGATGGTGTGATTAGTAAACCCCTGAGTTTGGTTGCTATGTATTCTTGAGTGATTTTGCTTTGTGATGCATGATAAAAAAGGAGAGGATTTTTGGCAAAACCCCATAGGAGCTGATCCTCTTGCCATTAGAGAGTGAAATGTTTTCTTCTCCATCTAGTCTTCCATTGGGAGTGTAAATTGGAGTGAGAACCCCTGCAATTTGGTTTTTGGTTCTGCAGAATATAACTTTATTAGTTCCATATAACAAACCCATCATCTGAGGACAAGTTTCCATTATAGTGGAATGATAATGAAATTAAGGGGGAAAATGATCTGAATATTTTGGTAAATGGCTTATCTTTTAACTTACAAGTTTCTAGAAAAGATATATGGTGCCTTTACCTCTTTATTTCCCCCTGTATAGATGGTTACATGCCTTGGAAGGTAGGTATTCAATACATTTTTTTTATTACTATTACCATATCATTAGAGAGTTCTTTCATTTTCACCAAGCCATCTTATAGAAGAATTCTCTAAAAAAATAGAGCTTACCTATTTTGATCTCTCAGAAGCTTCACATTTTAAAACTAGGGCAGACATATACAGTGTTTTGCTCATTGGTAAATAAAGCACATAGTGTTTTCAGAGTAATGCTAGTATCTTATTGCCCTGCCTTTAAATAATTGCTCTTTTTCTTACTGATATTTTAACATAAATTCTTAGCAATTGAATAAAACTTAAGAAGGACTAAGGATTGGTAGAAATGATCAGGTACTGAAGTATATCCTAATGTAGAAAATTGTGATTTAGTGTTCTCCTATTAGATCCAATCGTCTGGAGCATGTGGCATTTACTAACTTATTAACCTATAGAATGTAACAATACATGGCCTTCATTTATTGAATATTTACTATGTGCCAGACATTATATGTTAGGTGCCTCACATTGGTTATCTCACTTAACTCTGGGAACAAATCTATAAGATAGGTGTGATTTTACCTATGAAGAAATGAAGCTCAAAAGTTTAAGTAGCTTTCCCAAGGTGTACAGAGTCAGAATTTGAACCCAGTTTTATTAAACTCCAGAGCACATGCCCTATATTATAAAGAGAGAAATGGACATCATTTTATTCATACTCCTAAAAATGAACATTTGTCCTTGAAAGAGCAAGCTGTGGTTTGACTATTTTATATAGTCATTGTATAGCCATTATAATTGAAGACATATCATATATGATTCACAGCAGTCCAGAAGAAAAGAGGCAATACAGAAGAATATGAAGACAAGGTTAGCAAATACTTAGCAGAAGGCTGCACTATCTGACCATCACTGCCGAGTAGCTAGAGACCAATGAGCCTAGTTGACACAACAAAGAACTTGGAAAGGTCATTTTTGCTAATAGAGTACTTCATTTCTTTGCCTGACCTTGCCTCATGCTCCCTTCTCAGCTCTCAATTAAACTGCCATTGGTATAGGATTTATAACGTGTCTCTGGTTCATTCAAGAGACAGTGACAGAGGTGTGGCTGAGAAGCTGGACAATAAAGAATAGAGACAGTTTCCATTTCTGTTCAAATTAGGGTGGCAACCCTCGGGACAGACCAAGGCAGTCCAACGAGATGCTTATCGCAGATACTAAATGCCTAGTACCCTTTTCAGAAGGGAGATTTTCTCTGAATAACCAAGATGCTCACAGTTTTTACACATGATGAAAACACCCAAACCTGGAGGAACGATTGTAGTGTTAATCTTGTTGTAATTTTTCAGAAGAGAATCTGTATTTTATTCTTCCTTCAGGTTTCTAAACAATATAGTAAATTCTATAAATGAAGATTTTTAAGGACAAGAATGGTTTCTTGACTGAATCAAGTGCCACTGTGTGGCAGTGGATCATATGAATTTTAAATGTCATGAACCTATATTTTGCATACATAGGATTATATTAATTTGTGTTTTAAATACACAATGAGATTGGAAGTTTTTTGTTGGCATTCAAACGAATTTCAAGGAACAGTGTTGTTCCTTTATAGATGAATCTTATTACAGTTTCACAAATTTGGAAATAAAACTCTGACCTTGAGTTAATAAGGAAGAAGCTATAGGCATCCAAATTTTAAATTACTGCTTTTATTTAGCACTAGCAATGTCTTGGGTTGTGGATATAATCCTAAAAATTGAAGTTTGATAAAATGTGTTCATATGCATCTTGATTCTCTCTGGGTAGTCTATCTAATATGACAACACCTCTGTCCCAATTTACTCAGCAGTGAGAAAAAATTGATTGGTGGTTTAAGCTCTAAAAGAAGCCTGTTTCCCGTTTTCTGTGTTTTGACTGACCTGCAGGTTTTTCTAGATATTCTGGCTTAAAGATAAAACTGATGGAAGTCAGAGCTGGAGTTTTCCTACCTATGTGCTTATCAGTCCTCCCCTGAACCAGTCTGTCTTGAGAGCTCTAATAATTAATTTGCTCTCTTTCTTCTCTCTTCCCCCACCTTCTCCATGTCTGTTCACAGGTTATCTTGACGAATCAAATTACAACGCATCTAAGCGGAGCCCTAGCTTCCCAGGCAGACCTGGTGTCTCCAGCTGATGATTTGTCCCTGTCTGAAGGTAAGGGATGTGTCCTAGAGGGGCTGAAATTTGGCACTGACAGTATAGCCCCACGGCCTCTCCTCTCTGCCTCTCTGCCCCATGTTGCACTGGGAGATTGGGCTAACAGGCCCTGAGCAGTGAACCCAGCCAGAGCCTGGCGATTTAACTTAGCCAACTTTTCTGGCATCTGATCCCTTATATTTGGAATCTCTTGCCTGTCTCTAGAGGCCAGCTTCCCTTTTCATCTGAGTGAATCACTCTCATAGCCATCCATCACCTCTACCTTAAGCCTTGTCACAGCTCCATAGGGTGCTTTGGGTCCTTAGTATGAGGGCTGGCAAACTGCGAAGTGATTTGGTTTTTCAGACTGATGCTCACAGGTTAGCTTTACTGGTGGTCTCATAGCAATTTAGCCTTTTGTTTGTGCTGGGTGCTCTGGGACTGACTGAAAGTGTACACCAGCATCATGTGCTGGAGATGTGGCATTCCCGACCGGCTTTACAGAAAGATTAAGAAAAACTCTCCATGTTGGTAAATCTGCAAAATTTTCTCCACCCTCCCATGCTAGCAAAGGTCAGGCAGGCCATGGTTTATGTAGCAAGGGGAATTACACCACTGAGCCAGTGGGTGGTTTCTAGTTTTATTGAAAGTTCTTATGTGACATTTCTGAGCTCTGCTAGTTCTGGGCTGGATAAAAGTGCATTAGCTGTGACAGATCCCTCTGTGCTTCCATTTTCTGAGAAGTATTCATGAGGGAGCAGGTGGGACTGGCAGGCCTAGTGAGGCTCCTGGCTGCCCAGGTGGTCTTCCATGGATTGGCCGCAGTTTACCATCTCAAGAATTGGAAGGACCACAGCCCTCGCTTCTTGGTGGTTTTCAGAGGGAAAACTAATTACTTGGGGCACCTGGGTGGCTCAGTCAGTTAAGCATCCGACTCTTGATCTCGGCTCAGGTCATGATATCATGGTTTGTGAGATCAAACTCCAAGCTGGGCTCTGTGTGGTTGGATAGGAGCTTGCTTGGGATTCTCTGTCTCCCTCTCTCTCTCTCCTTCCACCCCCCCCATCTCTCTCAAAATAAATAAATAAACATTAAAAAAACTAATTACTTATTTTTTTTAAATTGTAAAATGCTCTGTGTCCCCTATTTCCACATTCAGCGACATGTCATCTCTCCCTCCTCACCTGAACTGAAAATCCAAATCCTTTACTCTTCCTCCCTCCCTGCACTCCTTTCATCCAGTCTTCTTGGTTCTTCTTTCCAAATATATTTTTTCCTCTGTCCCCTGTTCTTTGTAATTTTTTTAAAAAATGTTTACGGATATTATACATTTTTTTAAGTAGGCTCCATGCCCAGTGTGGGGCTTGAACTCATGACCCTGTGATCAAGAGTTGCACGCTCTACTGACTGAGACAGCCAGGCGCCTCTTCTTTGTAATTCGTATTGTGATCTGTTGACTTATTAAACTCAGAGTTGGATTATTTTTATAGATTCCAAAGCGGCCTCCCAACTCCAGCTTCTCTTCCGTTTCCATTCTGCTACCACCAAATTAAACTCCGAATCTGGCTTCCTTTTACCATGTCAATCTCCGACTCAGAAATCTTGGAATTGTTTTAGCTCATTTCCTGAGAATAGGCTAAAATCAATAAGCCACTTTTAAAATATTCAGGAATTTGTGGTTTGTTAGCTTGAAATCACCCAGGGTGGAAGGATTTACGCCATGGGAATCAGCACGTGCTAAAAATCAGGATTTTTTTTTGCTTTTCTTTGCTTTTGTGTGGATCAGTTTCCAAAATACCACTAGAGACAGTTAATGCTTCCTTACCCCTCACAGTCTGCCCTTTTCTTCCTGTTTCCCCTGATTCTTGCCAATGCCTTGGGTGAACTGTTATACCAACCATGCTGACTTTTTGCTCACCACTCCCCACCCCTGCTTCCATGTCACTGAAGAGACGGCTCGTCCCATCTAGAATAGCATTTCCCTTTTTCACTTCTACTGCTTCCTTTCTTCCCAAATCCCCTGACCCCTTCAAGATTTATTTAAAGGCCACCACTTCCACTAACTCCCTTGTTTGTTCCAGACTGCGCTGGTCTCACTCCTTCTTCCTCCTCTGTGCTGTGGCCCTTCTACTTGCTTTCCTTTCTAAAGAAAAGGACTGGGAAAACTAATTTAACTTTTCATGGTTTCCTGACTAGATTGGAAGATTAAAAAAATTTTTTTATGTTTATTTATTTTTGAGAGATAGACAGACAGACCCAGCATGAGCAGGGGAGGGGCAGAAAGGGAAGGAGACACAGGATCTGAAGCAGGCTCCAGGCTCTGAGCTGTCAGCACAGAACCCAACGTGGAGCTGGAACCCACAAACCATGAGATCATGACCTGAGCTGAAGTCAGGCATTTATCAATTGAACCACCCAGGTGCCCCTAGATTGGAATTTTTAAAGGGCACACACTATCTTGTATTCTTTTTGTATCCATGTTGTGCCTGAGTGACTAACAAAGTTCTAAGCTTATAATAGGCAGTAAATAAATGCTGAATGGATACCAGAGTAAATACTTCATAAACAGTAACCATGAGACCCACACAAAGCACCTGATTATTTCACACACACACAGGCACATGCACACGCGTGCGCGCACACACACATTCATTTATTCAGCCTTGAGGAGAAAAAAATGTCTTGTTTCCTTATTTAAAAACCAGCAGTGGGGGCCTTGGTGGCTCTGTCAGTTAAATGTTGGACTCTTGATTTTGGCTCAGGTTGTGATCTCACAGTTCGTGAGTTTGAGCCTCATTTTGGGCTCCATGCTGATGGTTCAGAGCAGGCTTGGGATTCTCTCTCTCTCTGTCTTTCTGCCTCTCAAAATACATAAATAAACTTTAAAAAAAAAAAAACAGATAAGTAATAGTACTTTGCTTTCTCTTGGCTTCCTAGTTTATCTTAAGCAAAGAAGAGGAGCAAAACAGATACAAAGGAAATTGTTTTGGGGCTCCAGTGTAACTGCTTCCAGAAAATGGTAAAGGTGTGTTCAGGGCAAGGGGAAACTTACCTGCTCATCCTTTGACAACTTTTTAAAATTATGAAATCCTAGGGATAATGGAAATAATTGATTTTTCTAGATCTTTCCTTTGTATAGCTAAGCAGGTAAAGAGGCTATAGAAATATTTTTTTTCCTGAAGTCTATAATGATGTTCCTTACCAGTGAACTAAAATGGACAATTTTCCTAGAACACTTATACCTATTCAAATACATTGCAATGGCTGTTAATGCCACTGTGGTTAATATGTATAAATTACTTTTTTATTTCCAGCATTTCATGTATCAACTTTGACACTGTGTTATTAGCTCTGTTATCCTGGGCAGGTCTTTTTGATGACTTGGGGCCTCATTTTTTTTTCCTATTAAATGACAGGCTGGATAGATACAAGATTGCTGAAGTCTTTTCTAGCTCTACTGTTGTGAGATCATGATGTGGGTCTGAAGATCAAGAGTATTCACTCGTTGATGGGGTTTTAAAATTCTGATTTATGGAGTGGGAAGAATGGCCTTGTATTTTCCTACATTAAGCGTAGTAGGAAAGACCTTCAGGAATCTTAGCATTGCTCCTTTGGCATACCTATAAGACCCTCCTCTCCCCGTATTGCTCTCTCCTTCTGACTCTGAACAATTCCTGTCTTGTCTGTCTGGCTCTTGCTCTCTCCGCCTCTCTCCCACACAGACCTGTACACAAGAAGACGTGTGTGCAAGCCAGTGAGAGCAAGAAACACACTGATGGGGTAAGCTCAAGGTCCACCCTGTCCTGTAATAGATTTCAGCTGCAGAGCAGAGGGCACGGCTTAAACAGTGCTCCCTTGAAAACGGTTGTGGGGTGAGAACAAGCAGCCAAGAGCAGCCAGCAATAAAATGATCTGAGTTGACCTAAGGGAAATACCCAGCAGGGGCCAATTCAGGGAAATGAAGTCCCCTCTGCTCTGATGCAGAGCAGGGAATATAAGTGACCTGGCCCAACTGAGAGATCTCTTCCACCCCAGCAGATCCTGTACTATTAATATCTGCCAGCTGCAGGCCCAGAGCATCCCCCTGCTGAGATCAAAAGAGCCCCTATCTTAGCTGGAACAAGGTCATCTTCACAGAGTTGTAAAAGCAAGCCCTGGCTGGCTGCAAGGACCTCTATGGGGGAGGAGAAGTCAGGAGATGGGGAGGTGCTCTCTCACGCTCCTTTAATCTCGGCTGACCAGCTGTTGCCCTCCCAGTGTTTGTAAAGTTGAGAGTTCTTTGTTTTTGTGTTGCTAGTTTTTTTTTTTTTTCCTTATTAAGTTTGTGGCTGACTTGTTGCTTGGATCATGTGGAACCATGTTCACTGCTTGGGTCCATGGTATGATTTTCTTCGTTGGGGTTTCATTCCGCTGTTGAATCATCCAGCTCCCAGGTAGGAGAGCCGAAGAAGAGAGAAGTGGACCCCAGAGGTCAAGGACTTTCTCTGCATTGCTCCTGCCCCATAGCTTTGTGCCTTGAGAAAGAAAGAGAGGGCAAACTGAATCTTCCCTATTTTGCTAGAATAACTTCTCATGGGTACAGTGTGCTTGTCAATTTTCAGCCCACCTTTCAAAAGCATTATTTCATTCTGTCGGGAGAATGGAACCTTCAAGACTTATGCAAATTGACCAAAAATCACTGCCCTATGAACCTAAGGGCAGAAATCCAGATTTCTGGTTTTATAATCTACATTGTTCTCAACCAGGCGCTGTGAATCAAAGTATTTTCCACCTTAGTTTTTTGTTTTGTTGACAGAAACTCAGGCAACTAGATTATTACGAAGTTGAGTGACTGGTTATTGACTAGGTTATTGTGATTGTTCTGTGGCCAAGGACATGTTTCTTAGATGCCCTTGCCATTTCTTCCTGGTGGTCATTGAAAATACTAAGGGCAACTGGATCTCAGTCATAGGGAATATCCCTTTTCCCCATAATCATCAGTAGAGAAAGGATATAACAGTCCAGTTGGCCCAAGATGC